TATTATTACTATTATTATCATCATTATTATTATTATTATTATTATTATTATTATTATTATTAATCTTTCAACGTAAAATTTTGACGACTGGTGTCCGGCGAACTATGTTTTTTTCCGATAGCTGGAACTAAAACTGGTGGAGAAATGCCCTACCTGTTTTGCTAAAAACAAATAATTCAATATTTATACCATCTTATAAACTTACCCGTACAAATGATAGGGTGGTCTACTGTCGACCAATCACATGCTAATCACTGTTTTCCTTATATAGAAAAAAACATTCTTTTATTCAAGCTGGTGCTTTGCCGCTACATCGAGCTTGCTTTTCGGTGGAAGACCTGTTGTCGTTTTCAAATATTGAAAAAATAATCCATGAAACGACAAAATAATCCATTCGATTCGGCGGAAACCGACTTGGTAGTTTTGAACGAGTAAAGATGGAATTATGAACGACTTTTTCAAGCACCTCAACCGGAGGCCGAATTCCATAACGCGCGTTTTATCAATATAATTTTTGAACAAGGCTATTCAAAGGTCAAGGTATGAAATGAGAGCGATTTTTTCGCAACCCAGACAGCCAGCTTGGAATAGAAAAGATGCTTCTATCAACTCGGTTGATCAAAATAAGACATGAAAAGCTCTGTACCACAAACCGCGTCTGCGTAACAGTCACAGGAATGATGATTTTCTTTGTGATTTTGTATTTTACTTCAAAGAATTGGGGCCAACTAGAGGAAGATGAAATACTCACAAATCTGAGATATAATGGCTTATTAGTACGAGCAGAATGCAAGGCTTGCCTCAAAATAGCCATGGCCAATCAACAGAGACACCAAGATGATGTAACAACTGGGCAGCATCACAACTGCACTAAACTTCAAAGAAAGATAGACCTCTTAGAACAAAAAATGAAATTATATGAAAATTTAGGTAAATTTACAGAAGAAGATTCGTTAGTAAACCATTACGGGAGCAAAGTGCGGCAAAATATTCTTGTCATATCAAATCTTCATTGTGGCAGTTCGTTCTTAGGTGAAATCTTTAATCAGCATCCTCAAGTGTTTTACTTGCACGAGCCCGTAGAATCATTGGAATATTACCGGGAGAATAGACCCGAGAACGTCTACGATACCATGGTGACACACCTCCTCAATGGCATCTTTCACTGTGACTTTCGTGAACTGGCTTATTTTACGGATTTTATTTCTTTGCAGTATAGCTCGATCAAGCACAGATTATCAAGCAGAGCACTTTCTTCACCTCCACTTTGTCCTTCCTTCAGCCAAAACCATCCTCTATTTAATATTCGAATGTGCACTAGACTTAGGCCTCAAACTTTGTCTGCAATATGCAATCTGCATAGGCATACAGTAGTCAAGACAATTCAGGTTGATTTTATCCACAAGTTGTCTTATCTTATGGACACAGAAGGACCAGCCGATTATGCCTTGAAAGTCGTACACCTCGTGCGCGACCCGCGTGCTTTGATTGATGCTAAAATTCAAAACGATTTAAATAGTAATTGGACTACAACATCTTTACGTCAAAATGCCCGAGCAATGTGTAAAGATTTACTTCTGAATATCAAATACGCAGTAAGTGCTCCCCCCTGGTTACAAGGTCGTTATACGTTGCTACGTTACGAGGACCTAGCAACCAAGCCACACCAAATTGCCGAACAGCTTTATCAGTTTGTAGGGATAAATAACGATGCTCAAGTTCGAAGATGGCTCGATAAAAAGTCCAACACTGTTTCTTATTCTGGTATGAGTGCTTTAAATCCCAGTGGCCCTGTAGAGGTACAAGATAGAAGTTCGAGTGAAAATGTTTTTCAATGGAGAGGACGAATGCCATACTCTGTCGTTAGGATCATAGAAACTGAATGTTATGAAGTCATGAATTTATTAGGTTATAAAATTGTAGACGATATGGATGAACTTAGGGCAACTAATATTCCTCTTGTGGATTAAGAGATTTGAGTAGCTATGAATCGGAACGTGCAACTGATCAAAAGCTATTTTGAAGAATTTCTTTTAATCGACTTAGTGCCGTTTACAATTTAGTCGTTCCATATAGAACTGAATCTCCATCTCGTTCTAGAGAAGTGACTGAGGAGAGTTGCTACTATAGTCACGAACAGTTGAATAATGAAAGAGTTAGTTGCTATGTTTATAATAAAACATCGGGGTTGTTCATAAAACTAAAAATATATATATATATATATATTTTTTTAAAGGTTTCGGCTTCATTGTTCGAAAAAGACGTCATTAAAATTAAAGTAATATATATATGGAAAAAGAAAAAAGAAAAAAAAGGCAGGAATAGAACAACTATTAAAGTAAAAACTTTTGTACGGATGGAATCCTTGTAACTTTTGTCCAATTGAGCTTACACCCGAAGGACATCGAAACTTGTTTATCCATTCCTTCCTATTCAGTAACCACTTCAATCTTGCCTTTCGAAAAAGTTTCAGTTGTTTTACTAATAAATGATAATAATGATAATAATAATAAAATTAAAATTAATAAGATCTAAAAGATAATCTGGGGCACACCCACTAAAAACTTTCTATGTTACTAACAATATCTTAAAAATTACCCTAAATCTAACTGGTAGACAATGTAATTTAACTAAAGATGGTGTGATATGATCAAATTTAGACATCTTACATATAAGGCTGGCGGCTGCATTTTGAACTCTTTGTAACTTATTAAGGTGGCATGTTGGAAGGCCATATGGCCTGCAAAGCAGGCGTTCTTGTGGGTTTGGGGAAAACCGGGTTTGGGGGAACTTTGGAAATTTGGAACGAACGAGAATCGAAACCGAGCAAAAAAGAAGCTTTTCTTTTTGCTAGGTCCCATTTTTCTCGCGGGCACGTAGTCGAAACAGAAACCCCAAAACCCCGTTCTTCCTCAAACCCATCACAACGGCGCATGCTCTGCAGGCTAAAGGCCATAAAGAAGAATATTACAATAGTCTAACCTACTAGTAACGTATGCATTTACTAAAATTTGCACAGTAGAGTGCTCACACTAAATCCGTGAAACAAATACTAATTTTTAGCACTAAATAGTGATAATTAAACAATAGAAAACAAAGGATTCGTATAGGAAATAGTACTAAGGCTTTAGTGCGTGCACTCTATCATAACCGAGATACTTTCTTATACTTCAAATGTTATAAAGATGATAGAAAGCTGCTTTGCGTGTTTTAACGATATGACTCTTCATGGTCAATTGAGAATCAAACCAGCAGACTAAGTTGCGTACATCACTACCTAATGAAATTTCAGTATCCAATATCCATATAGTCATATATCACTGAGCACAAAAACTACTATGATTCGCACTCTAGCGTAGCAGTTACAATGTATGTTTTTTTTCAAGACTAGATGGCTTTTTTTGATCCGTTGAGAATTGATCGTGAGGTTGGGGATGGTCTGGGATCGACTGTAATGGTATAGTGCCAGGAGACTTGTGTCCCAACCCGTCCCGGCACACTGACTCGATTGGGTCCTTTTTGGGACATAAAAGTTTAGAATCTTTTATAACTTAGGCTGCGTTCATAATGTATGGCAGGGGGGGGGGGGGGGGGGGGGGGGGAAGGTGAAAATTTGCCGGAAATGTCCAGAGTAATTCTCAACACCCCCCCTTAAAGTCATGCAAAACAATACCATCCCCCCTAAGCAAGGCTTGTGGCTTCTTCCAAAAATTGTTCATCCCCCCCCATTTTTCTGATAAAAATTTGCCAATCCCCCCTTTTTCCTACCAAAATTTTTACGATCCCCCCTCCATTTCACCGGCCCCCTCCCCCAAATGAAGCATCTAGTTCCGCTGTTTGATTACAATCGGGAGTACAAATCTACTCGAAAAAGCTCGATTTTTGAAGGTTAATCCACTAATGCCAGATCTATCCGAGCATTGTCATATTTCTTATGGAATAGAAATCCAACGTTCCCCCAAAAACAGTGGAAACAAAGAAAGAGAAGAAAGTAGGGAATTTTCGACAATTTCTAGCTTAAAGTGGCATACTGGAAATATCGATAAATTACAAAACATTTTAAGTACTACAGAAATACAAGCAACGCTACGCGAATCAATAGAAAACGCGGATAATGTAGACTCAATGGTTAAGGCATTTACTGAAACCCTAACAGGCATAGGAACAGAAGCAGGTCTTTGTTCCCTAACTAAACAAACTAAAGCATTTAAAGAA